CCGAGCCCCGGCGGCCCCGCTCGCCCTGGCGGTCGTGGGCTGCGGGTGCGCTCCCGCCTCCCCCCGGGGGGCAGCTGTGCTGCCTGAGGGCCGCTGGGATGAAAAATAAGCCTGAAATGTCTTTAGACTGAAGTAATTTAACCCTCTCTTTACTGCCTGTAGCTCGCAGACCAGTTCTGTAACGCCATCGGCGTGTTGCAGCAGTGTGGCCCCCCTGCCTCTTTCAGCAACATTCAGACAGCAATAAACAAAGATCAGCCTGCTAATCCAACAGAAGGCAAGTCTTTATTTCTGGGTCTGCCCGCTCAGGGTGAACACGCTCTGGTACAGTATGCACAGTAATTCAAGATTTGTATTCTATTTTGTGCTTAGCAAGCATTATTCCAGCAGTAACTGGAGGAGTGATTCAGGTCAAATCATAAATTGATGTCAGCTGCACGTGCTGTATAAGAATTTTGTGTGTTAACTGAGTGTTGAAAAGCATTTCTTGTGCAGATACAGTAAGCCTTCAGATATAATAGGACTTTAATAGGACAGCTGTGAGATGCTTTTACTGACTTGTCCGTTATTTTGAAAATTTGTTTTTGAGAATGAGTGTAATTTTTATCAAATAATGCATGAGTTTAAAACTTTCCGTTTACAGTTTTAACTTTTCCTGTGTTTCTTCAGGCGTTGTCTGCTTATCTAATTGATTAAATAATACTACCTTGTTAAATCGCCCTCTTGGCATTTGGGGTTGGGGGTGGTGCTGAGAGAAAAGGATCTAATCTATGGCATTGCAACTGGAAAGCAGACTAAAAGACAGTTCTCTCCTCAATCTGAGAATTTAAAGTTAGTAATCAAATAAGCATGTTATTCTAATCCTGGGTACCTTTCAATGCTTCTGTGGATGTTCTGGTCAAAGCATTTTGCTAAATGATGATTTCTTTTTTGGCTGCTGTGTATTTTCCTGAGAAAATTTGCATGTATCTTGTATCAGATTAGATTTGACTATTGGGATATCAGGGGAGACTGGTTTGGAGCACAGTGATGCTCTTTTCAGGACAGCTGTTGTCTCATCCTTCATTGGTTTGCTCTCTGGTGTGGGAATTAGTTGGAGAAGGTAGCCGAAAGGTTGGCTCGCTTCCTCACGTCACTAGCTGCTGTCCCAGGTACTAAGTATCAACATGACGACTTTGGAGCTCAGAGGTTTGTTAAGGTCTTAAAATCATAGTCCATGATCATCTTTTGTTTTGTCTTGTCCTGAAGCTCTGAATAAAGTGAATTCAGTAAAATCGTACAGCCAAGTTAGCGATGCTGATCAGACCAGACTAAACTACTAGTTGCATGTCTTCAGATAGCTAAAGTCTTGATAAGAAGGCCTTAAAAGCATATAGAACACTTGTTTACAGGCCAAGAGTATATATGGGATGACACTGAGCAAGCTTTAATGATATGTGTTTTGTTTTGTTTTTTAATTAAAGTCAAGTCTACCTCTGAGAATGTCAATCTCTGCTATAGATCTTACCATTAGAAAATATTTTGTCTTGCTGCATGAAAGATCTTTGGAAGCAATCAACATAAAATGTGTAAGATCTTAAGCTATAAGCTAAGGAGGGATGTCTGAATATTTTAGCTAGAGTTATGAACTTCCAAGTCAAACTCAAGGTGATTTTCTGCCTTATAGGGCTTCTTTGGAAGAACTGTATGCACTTTTAATATGATTTTTGTAGCCAAAATAAGATCTATTACAAACTTGTCTCTTTTTCCTTTCTCCGTGACAATTAACTTTTCCTCTGGCTGATCTTTTTTCTTCTTCAAAAAATCTTCTCAGATTCTTTCACTAATGGTCTGTTCCTTGACATAATAACTTACTCTGTGCATTTGAATCTCTATTACTATTTTCATGTAATTTCTAGTGTTCTTATATATAGTGGCAGATTTGAAGGCAAAGATTGAAAGGTTAAATGAGTTGCTAGCTATTTCTGAATACTTAATGTAGCGACTAGGACACTTTGATACCTTTCACTAGTAATTTCTGAAGTGGCTAACCATGATGGAGTTCTAGCTATTTTCTCATTTCTTAAAAGAAGCAGTGCAAGGAGAAATGTTAACACTTGAATGCTTCAGATCTTTTTAATATTCTGTACTCCATATGCAGAATTGTGCTTATTTCTAATAATGTATCGAGTAGGCTGATATTTATTTATTTATTTTTAAGAATACGCCCAACTGTTTGCAGCACTGATTGCACGAACTGCAAAGGATATCGATGTTCTAATAGATTCCTTGCCTAGCGAGGAATCGACAGCTGCTTTGCAGGTAAGAGCATTCTTAATTAAACTATCAAAACATAACTGAAGACAGCTTACTTGCTTTCTTTCAGCACACTTTCTTACTCTTCAGACCATGTAATTTTGAAAAATGGCTTCAATGTAAGCCTGAATTTTTCATGAGGTTAGACGATGAATTCTGTGTAGGCTCACTGGAAATCCTGCTTCTTGCATCTAGTTCTTAATTAAATTCTACGCAGTGTGAATATTTTAAACTTATTTTTCTCTTAGAAGGGTTTCAAAAAAAAATCTGCTTTTTGATAACATCACAGTATTCTAAGCAGCTATGTGTTTTTTTCCAGCTTTTCAAATACTAATACAGCAGATGCAACATTGGCTTTTTTTCTTGGATAACCTTTCATATTCTTCTGCCCATTAGATGTTTTGTTTTGTATCTGCAGAGTCAATGTTTTATTGAAGCCTTATGTTCTCCTACAACGTTACTAACTGTTAAAGGGTTTGCAGTATGCTTTAAATTCTCCAGCTCTGTCAGAGAATGGTTCTTTTTCACTTTTCTCTATTAGGATGTCCTTTCTTAGACCAGCCAGCCAGACATGCTGTTTTTGCTCCTTCTTTCTTCAGACCAGAGGAAGTCTCAGACTTGCTCTAGGAAGTGCTTGGGAAAAGAAAGCAGTCACAGGCCAGGCAGCTATCAAAAACTGTGGACAATATCACAACCTCCATTCCTTGCCTCAAAAGAATCGAACTGCTGCAAACAGCTTGTGAGCCCTTTTGCAACACTCGCCTGTTTCTCACTTCCGAAGGATGCCTTTTAGCCATAATTTAAAGAACACCATTGTACTTCTTCGCTGTTCTTTCTACAGATCTTCCCTTTTTAAAAAGCATCCTTTTTTGTCTTTTCACAGAGTTGCCGTGATTTGCAGATATTTAACTTCTAAATTTACAAAAAGTATTTCCTTTCTTGTATGCAATGAAGATGCAAAGAGTTCTGTGCCTCTGAGAACACCAGAGCTGTTTTAAGATCATATGAAGGTTTTACGCCTGGGTTGATAATCTGTGACTATTCAAAGGCACTTTAAAAAGGCTTTAGAGATGCCTACTGGGCCAAGCACAAATAGCTTGGCAGCTACATTGCATTTGGTGTCAGACAGAGGAGGTTAAATTTGGAAACTTTGCTAGTCATAATAATTGCTGAACATACTAATTGGGTATGTTATCACCAGCATAATACCATGTAGCTCTGTATTTAATAGTTGAAGATAGTTTTCTTGTTGCAGACAAGAAATTACAGGCTTCTCTTGTGATGAACTGGGTTTTGTTTCCTTGTGTCAGCTGTCACTATGACAAGAGTGCTCCAGGAAGAGGATTTGGTTATCTGACTGGGGCATGCTTTCCTCTGAGTTGATATTCTTACAGTTTCTTGCTCTACTCTTAATGCAGAGCTTGGTTTCACCAGAATTTCTGATGTTTTTGCTTGGTTTTGAATCTAGAGAAAATTTAGCCTGCTTTTTCACCATTTACTTGTTCTAGTTTTGATTTTAAGTTTCTGTTGTTTAAATTGGTACAATATTAAAGAGCAGTGTGACTTCCATTAAAAAGACTGTTTTAGAGATGCTTGAAATACTCTAAAATACTCAATATAGGTTTTGCTGAGAAGCTGTAGATACATGGCTAGTTAGAGCTGCGCTTAGGCCAATCTATTTTTGATGCTAATGCTTTTTAGTACATGTTTCAAATCTGAGGTTTGTTTTAAATGGTAAGAGGGGCTGCCATGTTAATTCTCAACACAGTTTCTCAGTCCCTCTTTTACTCTGATGTTCGGATTGGTCATATGTATTCCGTGCAGATCTGTGGCTTACCTGCAGTCAACTGTTTAACAGCTGAGACTGAAGTAATTGAGCTGGATTCTAATTCTCAGACTTCTACTCTTGTTGTCTTCCTCCTCCTCTGACCCTTGCTCTAAGGGTCAACAAGACCTTTGTTGTCTTCCTTCATGCATATGTTAAATAACCTTCAGCGAAGACATAAGCCTTGCAGAGCGGAAGATGACTATGTTGACAGAATTTGCCAGTTTTAAGCGTGGCTTTTGAAAAGCCTGTATATAGACCTGAATAATTTTTAAAAGCCTTATCAACTTGAAACAGTTCTGTGCTTTGTCGTCTTTGCTATTGAGTTAAACAAGTTTGAGTAGTTTTAAATTTGGTAAATGTTTTATCTGAATTTTGAAGCTCAAATTTTTATTTCACAACTAAAATTTGTCTAGTTTAAAAACTATCTGGTTCTGAAACAACATATGACAAGGAAAAAATGCATGGTTAAATAGGACAGTTTCATGTGAAATGTGTTACTTCATAGGAAGATCTTAATCATCCCCTTTCAGTAAAGGATTGGGGGGGTGCTCAGTTTTCACTTATCAGGAAAGCTGCACCAAACTAAGAGTTGTAATCTGACAGAAATTAACATCTGTATTTGGTGGGTTTTGGTGTTTACTCCATGCAGAAATGTACTCTCTTTTAGACTGCAACCTCTAATGAATTGCTGTCAAATCAGTAATATTTAATTCAGGGGTTAAAGAGAGAATCTTTACTTTAGGGAGTGCATCAACTTCCTTTGGTAGTGAAGTCAATTCTGTGTTATGTTTTAAGGGCCTTATTTTTTCCCTTTTATTTTAAAGGCTGCTAGTCTGTATCGATTAGAAGAAGAAAACCATGAAGCAGCTGCCCGTCTGGAAGAGGTAGTTTATCGTGGGGATATGCTACTGGAAAAGATACAGAGTGCTCTCGCAGATATTGCTCAGTCCCAGCTGAAGACAAGAAGTGGTACGCATAGCCAGCCTGTTCCAGACTCATAGCACCAGGGGGCAGCGCTCAGCTGCAAAACTGAACTGCAGAAAGTCTTGTTGAAAACACAGCTCTGTATCTCCTAGGGACTGTAGCACTGAGCCTTACTTTTGTGGGATTCTGAAGTGCTTTGATCACTAGTAACAACGTCTTTTATCAAAGCTCAAACTACAGGTTTTGTATGAGAGTCACTTCTATTGTAGAACTGGTGTTTCAGTTCTAGAATTACACATCTTAATGTACTGACTTAATTGCTTACATTTCTTTTTTGTTCAACAATATGTCTAAATTTAATCTGGTTTGTCATCTTCATAATACAGGTCCTAGTCCCTAAAGGGAATTCATAGGGAAAGTGTTTTTAAGAGTATTGTGTAATTCACCCACTTCTGCTTTCAAACTTTGTTCTTCGTTGTTGTTTTTGTTTTTTTTTTGTAAGGCTTAAGCACAGAAACACTGTTTAGATAGACTGCCTGAGTTAATGGAGAAAATGCTAGACAATCTGAGGTGAGCACAGTGCTGGCCATCTATTTTAATTAACAGAAATGATAATTAAACAGTTTGTATTTCTTCTTGGCCATCTTATCCCTTACAGAGTAAGTAAAGGGATAAGTAAACTCCAGAGCTTGCAGGGTAAGTGTTCTTGCTAGTGGCATCTCACTGAAAAAGTTAAACGTGCAGGTACCTGATCTTGATATTTCTTATTGTTTATAATTCACAAGTGGTTCTTTGACTCCGTTATTGCTGCTGACACACTTACTGTCACATGCTCATGCTATTTCTCTGCTCCTGCTGATGGTCTGCATTCTCATGGCAACTGGTGAGTGCCTCTAAAGCACACAGTACTGAAGAAGCTTTGGAGGAGTCTGAAAAGACCCAAAAAGTATCTGGAAGAGCAACTAGCAATGAGAAAACTAAAAATAATTTCTTATATAATACTGCTTTTCAATGTAAGCAGTTGCTTATAGTATCTCTTTCCAGTGTAAGCAGTTGCTGCTTATAATCACAGCATTCATGTAAGCAAGAGGCGTAGTCTCCATCGTGAGAGGTTTTTTGTTTTTTTCACACACTGAATACATTTGTGTCCCTCATACTAGGACTTCAGAAGTACCAGCCTCTTTTTTCTTCTGCATGAAAAATAAACCAGATATTTTGGGCTTTGGTACATGAGCTTGGAGTTGAATCTTTTACTGCTAATCATCTTCTATATTTTTGAGTTAGCTGTCTTGCATTGTTGTAGGATGGTGTTTATTTCCACATAATGTATCTGCTCATTTCCTGATCAAAACTACCTATTTCTATACATTGGACATACTGTCATTAGAATAAAAGTTACATATGTTTTGCTACGGCATATAGGCAGGTAAGAGCAATTCAAATATGTCTTAAGCAACGTGATCCTTAGGGATTTGGATCTGGCCACTTCCTACACTATGCCAATAAAAGGAAGAGTATAACATCGCACAGGATATATCTTGTAGACAGTCTGTTTTAAGGATTAAAAAATACAAAGCTGTTCCTGCATGTAACAAATGCTAACATCTAAGTATTTAATTAAACAATATCTGATTAAATATTTAATGTTATTTAATCACAATTATATCTCTGTAGTCATGAAGTTAGTCTGCTATCGTGAGGTTCTCATACTATCCAGATTCCACAGAAGGAAAAGCAGCTGGGGCAGTGAGCAGGCTACACCTCAGCCCTGGTTCTGTAAATGGGATCTTTATTTAAAAAAAAAAAAAAAAAGCTGTGGAGATTTACTAAGCCATGTAAATATCCCCATGTTCTGGTGAGGCTTGAAGACCCAAATTTTCATTTAAAGTAAGTCTTGGGGTCTTTTATTTTCAGGAGGAAAAAAAAATGCATCCAGTGCATCACTGATTGATATGTCCAGAACTAGTGGACACAAAAAACTTTGAAAACTTTGGGTTTTGTTTGTGGGTTTTTATTGGAAATTGAAACCTTTTAATTTGAGGCTTGTACGTTGCTGGAAAAGGCACTAGCTTGTCACAGTAGATTCCCAGGTAAAGCTTAATGCCTGCATAACATCAAATGCATTTTGTTAACTTGGAAACTTTCACTATGGGCGATGGCGTACATCATCAGTAACATTACACTTCTTTCAGTTTCTTATCTTTTGTCTTTCAGTACTTGGAAACTGATGTATTACTGCTGCCTGGTATTGCTTTGCTGTAAAAATTTTCTTATACTTGCTGTTTACTTTATTTGAATATACCAGCCCATTTTTATATAAAAGTGTGTACTGGCATAAAACAGTTGATCACATGCAGAAGTAAACCTTAACAGAGGTGTAAGCTCACTAGTATGTACATGTGGTTTCTCAGTACCTTGCCTCTGTGCAGCTTCGCAAATTTTGCCAATTTAATAGAGATGCAGTTTGTGATATAGTGAAAGCAAGTAATGCAATAAAGAAAAGAAAGCCAAAAACCTTTCTTTTTTCCCCTTGGGAAAAAATACAATGATTTGGTTAGCAAGTAGTATTATCAGATCTGTGTGACCCCCCTCCCTCCCCAACTAGTTCCTGTACATGGCGTTGCTGGACTAGCTACTGTAAATCCTTGCCTTCTCTTTTAGTTTGCAGCTCAGTGTATAAGGTCGTATATCTTTTGCTGGGTGTCAGTGTGAAGAAGGGGGAAAACAATTAGCTACAGTTGCCTAATGTATTACATATGCATTACATTATGCCTATAGCCTTAGACTGGAACTTGGAGATACAGATTCTTTTTTTCCCCTCTATCACATATGTGCTGATTTGTTCAGCCCCTTATCTGTTTCAAAACAGATGGCAGTGATAGTAATGGTAGTGATCTCCGTAGGGGGTACATTTGGTTGATTCATGCATGACTTGTAGGTCTTGCAGTATTATGTCTGTATCTTTTTAGTAACCTGACTTTCAGTTTTGTTTTGTTTTGTTTTTTTTAAAAAAAAAAGTTGTGTGTGTGGCAGGGAGAGGGTTGAATTGGGGAGGAAGTACAAATAAAATAAGCCAAAGGCTTTTGGAAGAAGGCATTGTATCTTCCCTGAAATGTCATGGCTGACTCTGAGCTGTTTTAATACTCACTGTACAACAAACAAAGAAAACAACAAAACAAAAAAGACCCCCAAACCCCTATGTAACAGCTACTAACAAAAGTATCAGATTACATGCGAGAGAGCTGTAAAAAACAAAAAACTTCTGTTGAGACAAGAGAGTAAGTGGAGGTAAAGTATCATGGGAAGGAAACAAAAATGCTGAAAAAGATATAATATGCAAAGCCATTTTATGTTGGACAAGAAGTACTGCCCAGTGAACAAATTCTGCTTTGAAGAAAGATAGCACAGAGCATAATGGAAAATTCCATTGAAAAACAATCTCAACCACTTTGAATGAGCAAGAGCATTTCATGCTGAGAATCCATACAGCCCACTGGCAAAGCTGTTGGAATCAATTTAGTAAATATAAGTGGCTGATCAAAGTCTAGTATTCTTTACTATCAACAACCATGCTCAGAGGAAAGGAACACCTCACAGCAGCTGTTCTCATTTTCGGAAACTAGAATATGGAGAAATGTGTACGCTTGTTTTTAAAGATACTGGGAAAAGTGCATTAACGATATTTTAGCTTTTTGTCTTTATAACGTTAATCCTAACTCATTATCGCAGATGATCTGGGTGCTTCTGCCATGTGTGGTTTGGGGAGAGGAAGGGAAGGGAAGGGAAGGGGGGGGGGGTTCTGGCCACCCCTGGGGAATTGACAGCAAGAGGCTGGGAGTTTGCAGTGACACGGGCTGGAGACTGCCTTGCTGAGAAGCAGCTCTGCTGAAATGGACCTCAGGGTCCTGACAGACAGCAAGCTCAACCTAAGCCAGCAGCGGGGCCTGGCAGCAAAAAAGGCCAACAGCCTCCTGGGCTATATTGACAGGAGCACAGCTAGTAGGTTGAGGGAAGTGATTATCCCCTTCTGCTCAGCACTTATTAGCCCCATCTGAAACACTGTGTCCAGTTTTGGGCCCCTATATGAAAAAGTTGTTAATAAACTGGAGCAAATTCAGCAGAAGGCCACCAAGATGGCCGGGGGCTGGAGCACTTGCCCTGTGAGGAGAGGTTAAGGGAGCTGGGCTTTTTCAGCGTAGAGAAGAGATGGCTTCAGGGGGACCTAAAAGCAGTCTGCCTGTACCTACAGCAAGGTTATGGAGAAGATGGAGCCAAGCTCTTCACCGTGGTGCTTGGTGGATGAGAGACAAGGGGCATAAATTGAAAAGAGAGGTTCGGAATGGACACAAGGAAGAACTTTTTCACCAGTAGAACGGTTAATTATTAGAACAGAGAAGCTGGAAACCTGTGGGGTTTTTCAAGATCTGACTGGATTAAGCCCTGGGCAACCTGGTTTGACTTCATAGCTGACCCACCTTTGAGCAGGAGGCTGGACTCAAGACCTCCTGAAGTTTCTTCCAACCTGAATGATCCTGTGCTCCTGTGGCTACTATGCATATTAATGGTTTCACAAAGAACAAAGACGTATTCAGAATGCTGTTCTTGCTGTCTTTCTCCTTTCTGAAAAGGCAGATCTGGAGGACAGGAAACTTAAAAGTATCTAGTGTCAGCCTCATTTTTATTGATGAGATCTTGTGATGTAGGTCTGCCCTGGAAGGCCACTGAGTTGATCTTATGTGCAGTGTGAAATTCCATGCTGTAGTGACCCAAGTTTCCAACAGGTGCCCTTGGAGAGCGTGATATGCAAAATCCACATCCTACACTTTCAGAAAATTGATCTGTCAGATGATGCTGACTCATTATTAGACAAAGGCAGGCTTCTCTAAAGAAAGAAGTTGTATTTGTGTTATATAGCTTGTTATGTAGTCTTACGTAAGAAATAATTAAAGCCCTATTTTCAGCTACCTAACCTGGGAAGAGAGCAAAGGTTTTTTCTAGGTTTTTCTTTCAAAGCTATGGAAGAAAGTTTGAATGACTTTTATTAACTTAGGAACAAATTGTGACTGACAGGACCTTTTTACCTCTAACTCCTAGGGCTAGCAACAAAGGGAATAAGAATACAAGTTTGCAAGCAAGGTGTTACTTCATGCCCCAAATATGTCAGCCACTGTATTTTATGCACTTACAATGAGTGCCCTCCACAAAGTGGAAATGATCTTTAGGGTGTTTTTGTCTATCTTAGCATAGCCAGCTATAGTTAGTGTAGCGTAGTTTGCATGAGTATAGCTTCACAGTTATTATACAGTGTTTGCATACACAGTTTTTATGTTTATTTTTGCTTCTTGGAAAGCTTCGTAGGAAACTTTGCTTCTTCATGGCAGGTTAAACAAGCAATACAGGAATTTTATAATCTTGGTGCTGCTGTACTCACCAGCATAGACAAGTAGCTAAGCACATCCAGCTCCTGCTTGGAGCACAAAAGGGCTATTTTATGACTGTTTGGGCTGTCACCATGTTTCTTCTGAATTTCTGTTTATAGCTGACATTCATGTAGTGTAGCACAATAGTACAAACAGACCTTCCCCCGACTCTGTTAATTTGATATTTACTTACTATAAATATTACCAGTATTGAGAAGGCTCCCAGACTTAGCCTCCTTAAACTTACACACTTCACTGAAGGCCTAAATGAATTAAGCTTGAGAAATGGAAATTTGTAGCAGAGTAGGGACTGTGCAATTTGGCTGCAAAACATCCTTTCTCCAGCCTGCCTACATATAAAGAGAAGATTGAAACAGAAGCCCTCTTTCAGGAAACAATGTACTTCATTCTATGGCTGTGTGGGAGAGCAATTGACTACACATTAACTTTCCACAAGCGCTAGAGGAAAATCATAATTGTTTTCCCAAGTCACAGTCCAAGGGAGGGAGGCTACATTCATAAAACAAAGAACACCCTAGAAGCTAAGAGCTCAGAAGAAGAGGGCTCTTGTACCAAGGCCCTACTAAGATTGTGAAGAAGGGGCTTCAGCAGGTGTCTCTCTGGCATCGTCTTCAGGTAGAATGATGAAGGAGGTAATAGTGTGCCAGCTCGGTGGCTGGGGAATTGCTTTCAGTCAGGAAAAACAGGAGAAGGCAAATTTTACTTCAGTGCTGAAGAAGAGGGATTTTAAAGGAAAACTATCAGGATGGATGTTGTACAATTGCACACAACATATCAAAGTGTCTCCTCCTGAAAGAGAACAGCTGCCTCTCTTTGCTTCTGTTTCAGAAGGTATCAGAAAAAGGATACGTTTTGTTTACAGTTGTTCTGCTATTTTATTTTGAATGTTCATAGCAACAAACACTCAGCATAAGCAAGCATAATTTTGATAATGAGGCAGTTTTCAGATCCTCCTCTCCTCATGCGACACAGAGCATTTTGTGTGTTTAACAATCCTGGGATTGATAGGAGAGCTTTGGCAAGGGAGGTTTTCAGTGCATCCTTTTCACTTGGCATTGTTTCAAAAACTGCAATAAGCTGCTGCCAGAAAGGTTTCTCTGGTAGAGTGATGCAATAAGAGTGCAGTAATTCATCCAACTTCCGCTGTAAAAAAACAGCAGAATCACCTAGCTATTGTAAAATGGCATTTGATGGAGAGGAATCAAACCCTTTATTTCAATGGGACTATGCAGTGTGTGTAAAGCTAACCAAGTATCCTACTTCCTAGGCTCCTCGGAGTGCGGCATATTCCTCTCTGAACATTTACCATGTGATTTACAAAGACAGAGGCACATCATAAAATGATGGAAGGGTAGCACTGCAGTGCACAAGAAAAAACATTTTAGACCACTTCAAGTGCAGCAAGTGGATATTTATATGTCCAGCTAGCCTTGGACGTGCTGGTGAGGTATCTCCCTCTCTCTTCCTGCACCATCTCTCTCTTCCTCATGTGGCTCCTATTACATGGCTCTCTCTTAAGTGTTGTAGTCAGGGTTGGGGCATATCCAGGAGATGCCTTTAGGCTCATGAACGTAGACGCTGAGGTGCAACTGAACTGGATACCTAGAGGAGACACAATATGGTTCTCCTTCCCCAAAAGTCATGGCGTTTGAATGTAAAATTATGCAACTTGTTAAAATTACATGGTTTTAATTTATACTTTGGGAACCAGCTGTGTAATTCAACAGGTGCCTAGGGCTGATCTAGGTGATGTGTTCCAACTTGCTTTAGGCATCCAAGAACCTAAACTGCACTGATTTTAGAAATGACTTCTAGCAAAGGAGAGCTGAAATTCCTAGGCAGTATCGAAGCAGTAGTGTGATTCTCAGTGTGTCAGGCAGACATACGACCACAATTTCTCCATGTTACAGGAGCACAGAGTGGGACTTGCCCTTGCTTATGCCAACCAAGCTGTGCAGGAGGCCCCTTGTGGGCTTAGATGGAGTGAAGGCCTCTAATGAGGCAGAATGAGAAGCTCTGACTTTTTTTCGGTGTGCTCAAGCATGCAAAGTGCAATTCTACTTGGAGCATTAGCATTTCTCATCTGAGAACAACTGTGTTTGACTGCTTCCCTATCTTGCTTCCTCTAAAGGTATTTTGTAGCAGCAGCAGGTGAATGAGTGTAGAGCCCCATTCACCTGTGTGGTTAATTCTACCTGAGTCTTTAATTGACCGGTTAAAAGTAACACCCAATTAATCCTCTCTAACAGGAAAGTGTAATCAGGTAGTTAGGCATGTTAGAAGGCATTATTTGGACTTTAGCATGTAGTTAAAGGCTGGGGAGTAAGGGATCAATTTTCTTTATGCAAAAGTTGTATCACTAACTTACATTTATGAGTTAGGAAAATCACTAGGCATTTGTAGATACCAGTATCTCTTAACTGTCTTACTTGTTAGTTATGACTAGGTCATATTTAATCATGTGTTGTGTGATAATGCATACAGATCTCATATGAAGTCCTTGCCTTTGATGTGCTTTGGAACAGACCATAAATTGGTAGGTTAAAATGTCAGAAAAGCAGCCAGAGTGAGCCAAACTTACTCCAGTGACACTGCCCCAGGAAGCAGTATCAGAAATGAACCCAACCGTTTAGGATAATAAGTGGTAACTCTTACTATGGTAAGAAGGATTATACTTATACATTGCACAGCTCTTTAGGCTTGACTGCTACCAGAATAAAGTTGCAATAGCATAACTTCTCTTTTTCTAAGAGCAAAAAAAAGAGAAAAAAGGGTAAACCAGTTGTAGTCTTTGCTTTGTAAAGGGAACTTGTGGTTGATTTCTTTTGATAACATCTGATACTGAGGTGTGGCAACTGAATTTCAACAGTTAACTGTACATTTTCCATCATCTTCAGCAGCAAATCATGCTAAGATTTATGGATTTTTGAAGAGTGATGGTTTATCTGAACTAACCATGAACACAGCTAGAGCTGGGTGGAGTACATGAATGTTGTGGCTTGTTTTGAAAGCTCTCTCTGGTGCTGCGGTGGTATTTCTGAACCATGGTTCAGGGTTAAACTGATTGTGAAGCCTGAGTTTGGGAAGACATTTTCCCCAACAATGATATTGTTAAAATTATTTTCATCCTTTTTGTGGCCTAGGACTGGATCATTTCTTAGGATTATCTAAGCATTTCATCTAAGAAGTTTCTTACTACTTGAAGGGAATTGGTACCTTGATAGTGCCTTTGATCTCCCAT